CCAGCCAGCCAAACGGCCGGCTTACGGAAGCACAGCCAACGCAACATGAGCAGCTGCAGCAGCAGCAACAACAGAAAACAGCAGCTGCAGCAGCGTGCCTCCCCTCAGTTCCATTGCTGCTGGTTGCTGAGGGACTGATACGCAATGGTGTGTCCCAAGAACACCCGGACTAGACAGGCCAGCCGAGGATGGATGACAGCACCTAAATAAAAATAAAGACCAACGTTGAAGGTGCATGTTCCTGTTAGCTGTGTCCGTCCACCATCCACCGTCTAACATAGCGCACCGTTTAGCTGAAGTGAACTGGAGACTGGGGGACGGGAACCTGCCCGGACCACACCCGTACCCGTACCTTAGTCCGTCCACATTTTCCACGGGCACCCATCGCACCGATTCCCTCAGGTGGGTAGGCAGGCAGGTACCTTTGGGCCCCATTACCCTAGCAGAGGTCCAGCTACACTACCGCACCGTACCTTACCTGCCTAGCAGAGTACAGCACAGCCAGTTGAGGCCCCTCAAGTTTGCGTTGCTTTGGCCCTGCCCGCTGCTGGCCTCTGCCTGTCTGTCCAGCCCGTCTTGCCTGCTCTGCTTCTTGTCGTCGTCTCTGGCCGAATTTCCTCTCTCCCTTCTATCATCACCACCAACTCCACCCCTGCGATTCCTCCTCGCACCCAAACCCTTCTCCTCCTCTCCTCCTTTTAGACTTCCACCCTTCGTCTGCTCTTTCATTAGAAGCAGAGAGGTTTGAGGAGACCATTCGGGTAGAGCTCCGCCCCTGCTGCACTGCATTGCGGTTTTTTTATACACTCTGCCGCTACCCTGCTCTGCTCTGCTTTGCTCTGCTCTTTGGTTGCAGAGAAATCTGTCCGACAAGAAGCTGTGTGTTGCTGTTGCTTCTGCTTCTCCCGAAGCCGACGCCGCCGCACTGCCCAACGCCCGCCCGCTGTTGTATTTTATTTTTAATACGCCCTCTTGGCCGTCTGTTTGCCCATCGCCCGAATTCTTCGCCAACCGCAGGGCGGTACTTGCTTTTCCCCCGTCTTCCATTCATCAACCGTTATCTGGCAAGCATCGCATGATTCCCTCGACATCTTTCCGCCGCTTCTTCCGCTCCTCGAGCCTGTCCTGCTCGTCAACCTGAGCATCAACCTACCGCCGAGTCAACATCCGAAAGGTCCAGATAGCTCTACAAGAGCTACCGAAAACATGGCGGCCCCCCGACGCAGAAAGATTGGTCATCGACGACGCATCGAGGATGAGGAAGATGGAGAAGGTGGTCCTGATCAGCTCGACCTCGATGACGACTCCATGACCGAGGGTTCCATCATTAGTGACGACCACGATCACGGCAACGATAGCGATACTAGCAACATCGACGAGGCCTCCCCCATCACCCCGAACGCAAGGAAGTCTGCTGGAAATGGAGCCGCGAAGCACGCTGCCCGGGACCCCTCGGCGCCCGCCAACAACAAATCTGTATCCGATGCCGATGCCATGCTTCAGGGCCTTTCCGTCAGCGACCGTCCCGAGCCTGTGCAAGAGCTCCAGCTCGACGACCCCGCTGCATCGCCGCCCAAGTCTTCCGCTCCTCTTGTCGTGAGCTCCAACTCGTCCCGCCCCGCGGAGCCCGTCGGCGAGCGTCGTCGCCGGGAACACGAGGAATACAAGAAGAAAAGGGACGAAGACCCCGCCTTCGTTCCCAACAGGGGGGCCTTCTTCATGCACGATCATCGCCATGCCGGTCCTTCTGCTAATGGCTTCCGGCCTTTTGGCAGAGGTCGTGGACGTGGCCGTGGTGGAGGCATCGGAGGCCCCTACGCTCCCATGAAGTATGCTTCCCAGAAAGAGTCATCTCGTCATCTCTCGGCTAACCCGCTCAGTCAATTGCACAGTCCGACCGATCCTCTGACCAGTGGTCAATGGGCACATGATATGCATGAGACCGTCGCCGACCCGCTGCCCTCGAGACAACCAAGGCATCTGCCCGAGGAAGAGGGACCGGCCAACGGCAACGGCTTCATCCCGACATGCCCGTCCAACCCGACCCCCATCAACAGGACTCTGTCCACCGAGCGACACATCGGCAACGTGCAGGTGAGGGTGTCCCTTCCCGTCACCGGGAAAGGTCCTGCTGCGTTTAGCATGCCAGTCAAACAATACACCAAACTTCCAGACCACCGCCCGCCCCTGCGTCGCGACAAGCCAGTCCGCATCTCCCTGCCCGATAACCCGCCCAAGTACATCTTCCCCGCCGTCGACCGATCCTTCATCTTCATTCCCCGTGCCATGCGGCCGAACCAGCAGCGGACCCGGGGCAAGCCTCGCTCCGGCCTTGGTTCGATGGGAGGGTTTTCTAGACGGACCAGCGTTTTTGGCGGAAGCTACTACGGCAGCGCCTATTCTCCGAGCATTGCTCTCAGCCGTCGCTCCTCGTTGGCACCTGATGGTCGTGAATACCTCTTCTCGCCCACAGGCTCTGTCATGTCGAGAGCTCCTGTGCCAGTCGAAAATTCCAGACCTGTTGTCAGGCTGCCGCCCGCGAGCCACCCTCATCAACCCTTCGTTCCTAATCAGCCGTTTGTTGGGCAGGATGGCATGCCCATGCAGCCAATGCACGCTATGCACCCGAATGAGACGTCCATCAACGATTTGCCGCAGCCACAAACCCACCCGTTGCCTCAGAAGCCTGCATTCCAGGAGAACCGGCCAAGCCAGATTCCTATGCATCAGCCTCGCCCGCAAAAGGCAGTATCGGTCACAAACATTGAATCGCCGACCCTCAACCAAGGCCCGCAAGCCTTCCAGCAGGCTTTCCACCAGCAGGTTCCTGTTCAGGTGTCTAACGGCCTACCTCAGGAAGCTCACTCACGACAACCGTCGTACCCCACGCAGCACTCGACTGGCACGCCTTTGTCTCAGATCCCCGAGAGGGCGATCCACGCTGCTCCTTTCCAGCCCAACTACCCGCCTCCGCAACAGAACTTCTACAACCAGCCTTACCCCATGATGCAGCATCAACAACCGTACTTTTATCCCGGACAGTACAATGGTAACAACATGGGACCGTCGGCTGCGGCGCCGTCTTTTGTACCCCCCGGACAGCCGCCCCAGGGCCCTGGCTTCCCTCAACAAGGCCAGGTCGATCCTGCGGGCGCTCAAGCAAACGGACAGGCCCCGGGAGGACCCAACTTGGTCGCCCAGGAGGTCAACGGTATGGTTTACTATTACGATGCGGCTCAGCTTCCGCCCATGAACACCTATCAGGGCTACCAGCAGCCTCCCCCGCAATTCGGACCCGGTGTTGGTGGCATGGGCGGAATCACGCCAAGCCCGGACGGTTTCTACTACCAGCAACCCGCACCCGGAATGGTGTACTACTCGCAATAGGATTATGGGCAACTATCTACCACTTTGGTTCCTTCGTTCCCCGTAACGCCTTCCCCATAATCCTTGTAATTCTCAATGTCGGCTTTTCTGGTCGCGCTATACCCTCTTCTCGTCGGACGGCTGGACGGGGGCACAGGGGCAGGAGGAATTTCAAAAAGCGATGAGCACTGATGAACTCTATATGCTTATGGTATTGCTAGGATTCGGGCGCTATTGATCCGCGTTGAGGTGCACTTTGTTTGGGAGGGACTCTGTTATCGAGGTTTTCGCCAAAACCCCCCTTTTTTCTTGTTCCAACACGCTCGCAAGCATTTGATAGCAGGAGAGGAAAGGACGGTCTGGCGGATCATGAGTTAGGAGGGGGATACAGCGCAAGGTTCCTTGGTTCTACAACCTCTACACCTTTTTCTCGAATTCAAGAAGTTCCTCCCATTGCCCACGTCGAAGCCCCTGCCACTTCCCCCTCCTTGGGTTTCCTATCAGCCACCATTACTTCTCCAAGCGTCTGGCGTTTTCACGGGTAATTTCAGTTGTTTCCTTCGTGCTTGACCCCGACAGACGGGGCGTTGGTGAATCGGAGGTCCAATCTCGCACAGTTTTTTTCAAGGTTCTCTTTTGGTTTTGGTTTTGGATTTGGATTTTCGGTCTGGAGCGTCTATACATTTCATGGTTTACTAGTTATTTCCCTTCCAGCTTATGACCCCATTACGTTGATTTCTGGTCCTAGTTTACCTAGACATTCCTTCAGAGGGAAAGGGCCATTGACCCGTCCCCCGATTTTCTGTGTTTTTGTTTTCTTTCTACCTCATCATGACCATACGATATGCCTAGACTAGTTCTCGCCGTTTGACTTTTCCTTTGCTTTTCTTTTTTTGCAGTATCTCGTGAGAGGGCTTTCCCGGTCTAGGTATGCATGTTTAGGGGGATATTCTTCTGACGACCAAAAAAAAGTTTCTTTGTTTGAGTGGAAGGGAGGAAGGTGGGGGCTTGGATATTCTTTCCGATTTGCGCATGATGGCTTGTTGTTCTTTACCCCGCGAGAGGGAAGAGAATGGTGTTGGCAGAAGGGTTGACGGAAGGGAAGGGGGGAGACGGGGAGAGGTAGATGTATGTGATGCTTAGTGTGTGTACATGGTAGTTCTGAGGTGTTGTGGGCCTTTGGGGTGTTGTGTTGTCGATGTATACAATGGTTGGCTGGATCCTCGTGGACCTCTTTGCTCGGGTGCCTGATGCTGTGATTGCAAGGTACTCTCACTTGATAACAAGGTCCGGAACGAAACTACACGCCTGAGACTCTCATTCCTTTGGACGTTATGTTGCCGTCGTCTCTACTGTTGTCCTTGTTGTCGTCCTTTGTGGTCGTCCTTCGCTGTCCTCGTCGTATGAGGATCCCGTTTGGTATGTATTAGACTTCGCTCAACCTGGAGCACCGGAGATAATCGAGCATTTACGTGGCAAAATCACTGGGAGTATTTACAGATCTTTCTTCTGCTATGATTTCCTGATGTTGAAATACGAAGTCGTACGAGCACAGCTGCCTACAGAGACAGCAACCCTCCTCTCTGCTCGTATTCCTCTACTGTGCTTACGAATACTCTCCGGACGACAATGACATGGACTGGCCGTCGACGCACCCGTTGCGGGCTTACCAACCCGAAGAGATCACCGCCCAAGAGTTCAAATCTGCCTTGGAGATCAGTCTTCGTAACTATTACGATGCTGAACACACACAGAACTATAATAGAGTGATTGTGCTCACATTCTGCTGGGATATCGACTATAGCCGCCGCGCGAGAGTTGGACACTGGACCAACCAACTTGGCGATGCTTTCCAGCACTTATACGGTTACGAAGTCTTGCATACTTCAATACCGGCGTTCGCGCCCAACCCGCACGGCATCTTCTCCGACGTCGTGAGGGACACACTGTACGGAACGCCATACCAGCCTCGGCTCGGGAGAGAAACCCTCGTGATCATCTACTACGTTGGGCACGGCAGGGTGATGCCAGCAGCACCCAACGATGAACCGAGCCTCCTTCTACACCCAAGCTGGCCACCCACAGTCTTCGACCAACCACCTCAACCTATCGGTTCCTACCATTCCCAAGACGTCCCTCGAGTATACTTCACGAATATCCGCCGAGAGTTGATCGACAGCGCCGAGCCAGACGTGCTAATGCTCCTTGACTGCCCTTATGCTGGCCACACGGGCGCGATCGGGCCCGGCAAAGAGATCATCGCAGCTTCAGTCCCCGACCACCTCGCCTGCGCCGACGGCTGGCGATCGTTCTCTGCCTGCCTCGTCTACCACCTCCGGCTCGCAGCGACTAACAAGCATATCCTAACGGTGCCGCAGCTCTACTCGAGACTGGCCACCAAATGCTTCACATTCGACGTGCACGGCGAGGCCGAATTGGCGTCCATGCCCGTTCACATCCAACAACACTGCAACACACCCCGCGTCCCCATTTACCTAGGACCGATCTTGCCGGCATTCTGTTGGTATTCTGGTCGAGTCAGCCTGTATATGTCCCAGCCAGCTATAGTTGTGCTGAGCGTACGCCTGCGAGACGCAGAGAGCATCATCCTATCTGATTTGACTCCGTGGATGATGATGTCGCGCCTGGACAATATCGACAGAGTGAAGTTCGAGCGCGCATACCCCACAGTCTCAGGGACGGAAATACTCTTCAAGGCTACGTTTGATGTCTAGTGCGGATTAAGAGGCTACCCAGCGGTGCATTTCATCACTATCATGGTCAACGACGAGTTTGCCCGCAATATTGGGCCTAATCCTGTCTCTCATATGTAACGAAGACGATGGGAACGACGATGGGCGACGACGAAGGGCGACGACGAAGGACGCCGACAAAGGACGGCGACGAAACAGACGACAGCGAGACCTGATCGTCGCGAGTCCCGTAGATTAGAAAAACGTGAGGTTTAACAGCGTTGAAGATTTCAGCCTCTAGATCGACGACAGAATCGAGGCACTCCGGGAAGGAGAATACAGATCCGCAATCAAGTGGAAACCGACCAATGCGAAGCCCGCGCAGCACTGGGGCACCGAGGTTGTCAATATCCGGTCGGTTGCGGATGTCGAACGGTTCCTTGACGACGTCTATGCTGTCGTCGTCTTTGTCACCCATCACAAGACGATGAAAGATAGGCTTCATCACGACTATTTTCAACTCATTTCTTCCATTTCCTACCTTTCTTGCCTTTTATACGTAGCCAAAAACAAATTACCTGAAACAAATACAAAAAGATCTGTCTGCACAGGGATATATACAATCGTCAATTTTTGTCTTCACTTTTCGCCATTGTATCAACATGATGGAAAACCAATAACCCAATAAAACAAGAACAACCAACCCCCCTTTTCCGCTCATGAAACACACCGCTCTTCTAAGCCTGGTTGCGCTTGGCGAGCATGCTCAACGCGCTGCCCGCGAGGATGAAGCCCGCCTGGTCCTTGGTGACGGCGTGCAGCGTGGGGACGAGCACCTCGGAGCCGTCCTTCTTCTTGACGAGCAGCTGGACCTTGCCCTTGCCGCCGTTCTGGAGCATCTCGTAGAGGCCGACGGTGCTGACCTCGTCGCAGGCGGCGATCTTGTCGTAGTCGGCCTCGTTCTCGAACGTCAGGGGCACAACGCCCTGCTTCTTGAGGTTGGTCTCGTGGATGCGGGCAAACGACTTGGTGAGGACGACGCGGGCGCCGAGGTAGCGGGGCTGCAGGGCGGCGTGCTCGCGCGCGCTGCCCTCGCCGTAGTTGTGCTCGGCGACGACGAGCCACTCCTGGCCGCGCTCCTTCCAGCGCTGGGCGAGCTCGGGGATGGTGTGCTTGGAGCCGTCGACGTCGTAGGCGGCGTTGACCTCGCCCGTCTCCTTGTTGACGGCTGTGTTGAGGGTGTTTGTGCTGATGTTGGGCAGGTGGCCCTTGTACTTGAGCCAGGGGCCGGCGGCTGAGATCGTGTCGGTGGTGCACTTTCCGGTGACCTTGACGAGGACCTTGAGGCCGGTGATGTCGCCCTCGGGGAAGGGGGGGAAGGGCTCAAGGAAGGCGAGGCGCTCAGAGGTCGGGGAGATGGCGACCTTGATCTCTGGGTTGGGCTTCTCGGGTGAGATGGCCTGCAGGGAGGCGACGCCGGACTCAAAGGGGCTCTTGGGGTTCTCGAGACCGCGGGGAGGGTTGAATTGAAACTCCTTGCCGTCGGTCGTCTGGAGCTTGTCGGTCATGGGGTTGAAGGTGGTTGATCCGGCGTAGGCCATGGCGGTCACGATCTCGGGGGAGGCCAGGAAGTTCATGGTGCCAGGGTTGCCGTCGTTACGGCCGCGGAAGTTGCGGTTGTAGGACGTCAGGATGGCGTTGAGCTCGCCCTTGGGGATGTCGTCTTGACGCTTCCACTGGCCAATACAGGGGCCGCAGGCGTTGGAAAGGACGATACCACCAGCGCCCTCCAGAGTCTGAAGGGTGCCGTCACGCTCGAGGGTGGCGCGGATCTGCTCGCTGCCAGGCGTGATGTAGAAAGGGGCCTTGGGCTTCAAGCCGGCGGCTTCGGCCTGCTTGACCATGCTCTCGACCTTGGTCATGTCCTCGTAAGAGCTGTTGGTGCAGCTGCCAATGAGGCCGGCAGACAGGACCTCGGGCCATTGCTCTTGCTGAATGGTGCTCTTGAATTGGGACAGGGGGGTGGCCAAATCGGGGGTGAAGGGACCGTTAATGTGGGGCTCCAGCTCCGACAGGTTGATCTCGATGACTTGGTCGTACTCGGCGCCCTCGTCGGCTCTGAAGTTGAAGCTTCCCCAGTTCTTGTAGCCCTCAAGAGCGCGGTGCTGGGCTTCTCTGCGGGTTTGGAGCAGGTAGCGTTCCGAGGCCTTGGTGTAGGGGAAGATGGACGTCGTAGCGCCGACTTCGGCACCCATGTTGCAAATAGTCGCCATGCCGGTAGCGCTGAGCGTCTCGACACCCTCGCCGAAGTACTCAACAATGAAACCAGTTCCACCACGTACCGTAAGCTTGCCGGCGAGGTTGAGAATGACGTCCTTGGGAGAGACCCAGTCGTTGAGCTTGCCAGTCAGCTTAACACCCAGCACGCGGGGGGCCTTCAGTTCCCAAGGAGCGCCGACCAAAGCCTCAACAGCATCAGCACCGCCCACACCAATGGTAATGGTAGACAGACCGCCAGCGTTAGGGCTGTGAGAGTCCGTACCCAGCATCATGATGCCCGGCAGAGCGTAGACCTCAAGCACCGTCTGGTGAATAATACCCGCACCAGGAGGCCAGAAGTCCATGCCATACTTGCGTCCGGCCGACTCGAGAAAGTCGAAAACCTCCTTGTTTACTTGGATACCGTCGACAAGATCGCTGTCAGCGCCCTTGGAGCCCACAATCAAGTGGTCGCAGTGGATACTGGCAGGAATGGCGGGCTGGGCAAGGTTGCAGGACATGAATTGCAGCAGGGCCATCTGCGCAGAGGCGTCCTGCATGTTGACTCGGTCCGGGTTGAGCTTCAGGTTAGCACTGCCGCGGATGTTGCGTCCATTCTCGGTGTTGGTGAGGAGCGACTCCTCGGCGTTGTCGAGATGGCTGTAGAGGATCTTCTCGGCGAGGGTAAGGCGCTGCTGTCCTCCGAGGACGTGGCGGACCTTGAGGAGGTTGTCGTGGAGCCTTCGGTAGGTGTCGGGCTTGATCGACTTGGGCAGGAGCTTGCGCATCTCGGCGTCAAGCTGGTCAACGTCTTGTGCCGTCGCAAAAGTCCTCCGGACCGGCAGACATGAGGACGCGGAGAGGCATGGTCGCGTGCGCGCCAGGAGCCGCTGTTGCGGTGTTAGTAACCTCATTGTAGGCTGGAAAAATGTTTAGAGTATGGCTATACCCTCGCGGCGCCTCCAGTTCGACTGGCAAGCTGGATTGGTGCCATTGTCGCTGCGCACCTCGCTCCCAAGACTATGTGTGAGTCGTAATGGCGGGGTGTGGAATTTTTTGGATTGCAAATTGGCGATGTCGGATTGGAAAGTCTGGGGGAGTTTTACACCATTTGTGGGGCAACCCCAAAGAAACCTTGCACTGCCGGCACCGGCGACGACCCTACGCCGAGGCAAATCCCTGCACTGAGTCGGTATCGTTAAGAACTGATCACTTACACCAGAGACAGTGAGACGAGACAGCTTGTCGATTCTCCCATTGAGTTTCTTTGATATGGCTTACATCATCTTTCCTGCGTATACACCATAATAATCAAGGAAGGCTACAGAGACAAAAAGAGCAGAACCGGACGAAGACGACGACGGACGACGACAACGGCAATAGAGAGGACAACAACGGCAGAGATGACAAAAACCTATATAAAATTGAGTCGCCATGGCACTGTAAAAAAGTGGTCTCTTTTCTTTTTGTCAACTTATCCGACAGTATGCTTGATGCCAAGAAACAATTTCCCCTGTCCCAATTGCACCAACATCTTCTCAGCCGAGCCTTGAGTTGAAGCACGGCTCAGAAGATGGGCCTTCTTGTGCACTCTATAGACAACCCGTAAACTCCGAAATCCCACAGTAGTCCCCCTTGCGCTATCAAATGCTCCTCTACTAATCGTCTACTGGTCATACTGATTCTTCGTGCCAATAAAACCCTCGTTCCTCTCTCTTCTCTTGCCCCTCACCTCCTTGAACCACTCAGTGAGGGTGTAGCCCCAGTGGCCGGCGACGAGCACGCCACTAACAACGTTGACAATCTTCATCAGGAACTGTAAGAAGCCGTCCCTAGACTCCTCCACGGACAGCAGAATCGGCTCGATGTCGTACTTGAAGAAGATGCCGGGCACGTTGTGGTCGTCGACCTCCTTGCTCTGCTCGGTAACGGCGTACTGGTTCGTGAAGATGGTGTTGGAGGTGGACGCCGACTTGCCGACGGTGTAGACGGTGGGCACAACAGAGAGGTAGTACTGGAACTTGTGGAAGTTGATTCTGGCGGCGTTGACGGTTCGGTCCAGAGGGTTGACAAGCGAGGGGTAGAAGGGGCCGAACGACATCTCGGAGATGATGTGCGAGAAGTTGAAAGCTGCAAGATGATTAGTACGACTCGACCCACGGCGCATGAGTTACAGTCAACTTACCAGCATGGTCAAGGTGCTCCCCAAACTCCATGTATCCGTGACCTCTCGCGGTGATGTGGAAATCGCCCTGCACCCTGTTCACGTCCAAGTTGCCGTAGATGCGGCAGCTGTCGCCCTCGCCCCAAAGCTTCGGTGTCTTGGCCCACTTGGCCCTCTTCTTTCCAATGGCAACAATGTCGTGGACGTGCTCCTCGCCGAAGCCCTCCTCCTCCTGCCACCCCTCGCCCGTCACGATCCTGCCCTTGGTGTCTCTGCCCAGGCGGTGGATACCCTTGTTGTCGACCCACTGCGACCAGTTCGTCTTGTCGCGCTTGAGCTTGCTGGCCGCAAGGATGCGGTCGCCGGCGGCGTCCTGCACGTTGATATGGAGGTCGTCGCAGTGCATGCGCACCACGATGTCCAAGTTGATCTGCATCTCGTGTCCGACTCCCTTCTCAACGGCAAAGGTGTGCGTTTCAGAACCGCGCCACCAGCGACCGACCTCGGTCCAGAAGAGGAAGAGTGATATCACTGCCATGGCGACAGTCCACTTGCCGCCGCCCGACGTCCGCGTTACATATTGGGGTTTCGCCTTGGCTGCGAGAACCGTGTCAGCTCATTGCTTCACGGCGGTTTGTTGAAGAGCGTTGCGCGAAGGTGCGCAACAGTCTGTCGTGTGACTTACGGAAAGCATCGAAAGCGCTGACAATATTCCCCTTCGCCCCGAAGGCGTCGTCATCCATGCCGTGCTTCTCGTCCCAGCCGTTCATCATGGCTGCCTGATGTCAATTCGATAACCTCGTTTACCAATGCCGCCAGTGATCAGCGCAATTGAGATGTGGTTGCAAGTCGCTTCGCGGTGTGTGTGTTGATCACGAGGCTGTCGCAATTCGTCGATGTGTCTCTTTTCGGCTTGTTGCAAATGCCTGCCGTCAAAACCTTGTCTCGTTACCGCATGCCTCGTTCTCGGTGCCTGTTCGCAAAAATGAGAGACTTTTGAAGCTGCCAGGGATTGAGTCGTCGAAATTCGCCTCCTGGAAAGCTGGTCAGATTACTCGGCGCAACTCTCGTGAAGTGGGAGGTGTCGTAGAAGACTGTCTTAAGGACACTTTATCCAAAAGTTATCTGCAGTTCGGGCCCCCTGTCCAGGGGTCCAGAAATGATTGGTGCCGCATGTTAGTGCAGATGTACTAAGTGGGGCATGCACATTGGAGCTTCCAACAGGGGTGTGTGCGGGAACGTCTCCGTCCCACATGCATCGTCGCCACTCTACCTACACTTGTTCACTGCTCGACACCTTGATTGTCGCCAAAACATGTTACTTTCACTTTTAACCGCATGTGTTTTTCCGAATAGTTTGGATAGCCACGTTTCATTGCTGCCTAAAACCTACAAGTACCAATCTGTAATCTGTCATGAAAGCGTCATGAAACGAGCGTCACCTCGGACAACCTGAGAGACGAGTGATCGGTCCTACACTAACATGTGCGCTGAGTGGCCACCTCGCGTGCCACTACCAACTACCGCTTCACTACTGTCGAGACAGGTCTCAAACGAAAAACAAATACCCTGATAACCCTGTGAAATGAGACATGCGAGGAGAGCCAGACACCCTGAACAGACCACCGGTCACTCCGTACCCAGTGGGAAAGAAAATCACGAGAACGGCCTGAGGATGGTCTACTTCCTCAGCCGCCTCTGCTGCTCCTCAAGGAACTCCTCGTCGGAAGCGTCCAGAATATCGTACTCCTCATCGGTCATGAAGCCGTCGTCTGAGGCGTCCCACTCCTCATCCTCACCGCAGTCCTCAAACTCCTCTGCCTCAGAGCTAGTGGCAGGGGCAGCCTCAGACTTGATCTCCTCGTGGATGCTAGAAATCGGTGATTCCTTCTCCAACTTGGGGAAAATCATGTTGCTGCTCTGCATCTCGACAGGGACGTCCTTGGGCTCTTCAACGACGGGCTTGGGGGCCTGAACGCTAACATCGCACCAAAGTCTGTGACCAAACTTGAGACCGTCCTTGGTGGTCAGACGCCAGTAAGAGATGATCTTACCCTCGCGCGCAGGAGTGCGGAGGAGAACGTTGAAAGCAAATTCCTGACCCGGTGCAAGAGGTGCGTAGCAGACAGTAGACTCAGAGGCAGAAACGAGCTCGGAAATACCGGCAGGGTGGTTAGAGTCGACATGGCCCATGTAGTCTCCGCCAACAAACTTGACAGAGCATCCGGCAGGCCAGGCAACCTCGCCGTCGTTGCGAAGGACCCAAGTCTGCTCGAAGACATGGTTAGGCGGCAGGATGGTGCCATCAGCGACGGTGTCGCGAACGAAGACAGCCGCGAGATCTTGCTCGGTGATAGGCTTCTCAGCAACGGGGGCCACTGGCTTCTCCTCGATGACTTCCTTCTTGATCTCAGGCTCCTTCTTTACTTCTACCACGGGCTCTGGCGTCTTCTCGACGACCTCCTCCTTGACGGTAGGCTCCGTAGGCTTCACATCAACAACAGTCTGGACAGTGTTGATGGATGCGTTGGCAGTAGTCTCGGTGGAGCGGGAGCTGGTGCGGCGGATGTTACGGTCGCCCATCTGGTGCATACGCTGACCATCGCCGCGCTCGCCAGTGGTAGTAACAGTGACATGGCGGACAGGCGTCTTAAACTTGACCAGAGGGTGAGTCTTGTTGTGGGTGTTAGCCGGGCTAGCCTCGCAGTTAGCACAGAAGTCGGTGTCGTGGCACACGGTGCACTTGTAGCGAACACCGGTGATATAGGTGGGCGCGTTGTGAGCGCGAGCGCACAGGGGACCGTCACAGCAGATGCCAAAGTGGACAGAGCGGCTGACAGCGCGGCTACGAACCTCCTCGAGAGGCTCGTAGATGGGAACGAAGCGGTGGTTGGGGTGAACGAATTTGGAGTTCACGATGCAGTCAGCGCAATAGTCCCAATCAGGGCAGTCGAGGCACTTGTGACGGACACCAGCAATGTACTTGTCGCAGCCGTCGCAAATAGCGTTGTGGCTCTGGTTGCGGCCAGGAGACAACTTGATCTGGATGTGGCTGGGGACGTGGGCGCCCTCGACAGCAGGCACGAAGGGGTGCTTCGGGTTGTGGCCGTGAGAATCCTTCTCGAAGCAAGCGTGGCACAGGTCGAAGTCCTCGCAAGAGGTGCAGTGGAGGAAGCTGGCCTCAGGAAGCTCGGTCACGCAGCAGTTGCAAGTGCGCATGTTGTACATGGCATTGCTGAAGACGGGGAGAATTCTCTCGGGCAGCAGTTGCTGGACTGAAACCTTGATGGGTTCCTTGACTTCCTTGGTAGCATCCTTGGCCTTGCTCTTGATCTTGGGAGCGATGGTCTCCGTTGTGCTGTTGATAATTTGGCCGTTCTTCACGATACGCTTGATGAGCCAGTGGTCGGCACCGTAGCAGGTGATGCCCTGGTCAACGCAGTCTTGGCAAAGGTCAAAGTCGCCGTCGTCGCATGTTGAGCAGTGGTAGTGAGCATCAGGAACTGTCTGGTCGCAGCTGTTGCAGCAGACTGCGAAGTTGGTGTTGGGGTGCGTGAGAGCAGGGCAGCGTCCCCATGATGATCTAGCGGGCGTAGTCTCGGCGCCAGAAGCGTTTGCAAACCACTGATCGCGGGCGGTGATGCCCTCGGAAACGGGGATATCCGGGATTGCTGGTGCCTCCTCGTCGTTGATCTTGGCGTGTCTCCTCAACAATGAAGCGAGAATAGAGGCCTCAAAGTCAAGACCGGTGTCACTAGTGGGCAGCTCCTTCTTGGGCTCAACATCAGACTGCTGCAAGTCGACCAGTGGCTGAACTGGGGGCTGCTCCTCAACCTTGGGTGGGACGATCGGGGTGCTGGACTCGGGAACATCCTCAACGGACACTGGCCTAGGGGCCATCTTCTCCTCAACGAGCTTGGTGACACGGAGCTTGAGCTTTTGCTTGGCCTTGGCGGCGCGGTAGAGTTGCTTGTAGACTGAGACGTTTGACTTGTCGAGGGTGATGTACGAACCAGCCGAGTCAGAGTATCTCTCGAGAACTACATTATCGTCCTGGGTGACAGCCAGAAGAGCGCGAACCTATGTGAGGCCGTGTTAGCAAGGTGTTTCCACCACAAAAGCCCCAAAACTCTGATAATGGCGGTGAAGAGTGCAACTCTGCAACGTGGCGACACGTCGCAAAGAGACCCAGAACGTGGCCATGAGAATCCAGGCAGGTTGGCAGGTAGCGGAAGCAGCGGGTGAATGACGTACTCTCTCTTCGAGGGTGCTGGGTCCCATATCTCGCAGAGGCAGCTTGTGGCGGCGGGTCATTCCCTCAAAGTTGATCTTCAGGGTGACCTGAGTGTCTGGCGATGTTGTGTTGTTGGAAGCCATGTTGAAAGGATGGAAAGTGATTGCTGGGTATCGATGATGTGTGTCGCGGTCGGCCGGCGGGGAGGGGATGACGGCTCTTGCGGGTGTTTCACGAGCTGAGCGGGTAAGCACGGTGCACGAGGCTCGCTCGGTCGGGGTTGGAGGGAAGTTCTCCTTTTCCAGACGACGGGTAGCGTGATGGTATATGTATTGGGGTGGTCGACAATGGATGTGAAAGAAAAAAGAAGATGAAGAAACGGGACAAAGAGTAGATCAAGTAGTGGAAGACGGGAAGCTGGACAAGCGGGTGACGGATGGGGTGGGAGAGATAGTGACTTAAAGGATGATGGGGGTCAGTCGTCAGGTGGAGAAAGAAGATGAGCAGGCGAGGAAGGACAAGCCGGAGACAGACTGGACTGGTTGGCTCACACTTGGGGTGGTCTTGCACCGACACTGACCAGGGCGGGGCGTGGTCTGGAGTGGAGGTGGAGGTGCCGGGTGGGGACACTGTGGGAGACTAGGCGGATGATGCGTCGCTGTCTCTGGAAGGTGTCAAGGACGCAGGAATCAAGGTGCCGAACTCGACGGGGACTGGACGAGACCTTCCTGCGTTGAGATGCGGAACGGTGCGGTACTGGGTGAGAGCTCCTGCAGGTGACTTGAAGCTTGGACTGGGGGAAGGGGACTGGAGGACACTTATGTACGACCAGCGAGGAGGGCGAGGCCGAAACCGTGGTGGCCAGAGGCAGAAGGCATACAGACAGAGCCGGGACACATGGACACACCATACACACTCACACGCGCGATGCACACACCACGCAATCCAATGGCAATGGGCGATGGCCACTGCCAGGCAGGAGAGCGGCAGCGTCACTCGCACCCGCTGGAGCTGGGATTGGCACGTCGGTGTCGGGTATCTCGCGGTGATGGAAGTGAATGCGCACTGGCACTGTCCCGAACCCGGTGTGAATTTGGGAGGTGGTATTCGTGCATGCCTTACTTCACTGCGAAAGGTACCTACCTACCTGCCTGGGAGTGTAAGGTCCCTTAGGTAGGTAGGTAGGCACGGAGGCAGGCGGGACTTGGATTTGGAGACGACCTACGGGCTGGCTTTCCCCAGGCAGGACACTAAGGTACCTAGGAAAAGAGAGGGGCGAGAGAGGCGCTAGTGCAATGTGGTTGGCTGGGATGGCACCGAGGGGCTCATGTCTGAAGTGAATGGAAGTGCTGCGGTGACCACCTCACTGACCATTGACCATCGTACAGAGTGAGTACAGGCGGGCAGTCACTGCCCAGCCAGAATGGAACTGCGAACTGCTCCGGCGCAACCTTGCCTCGGCGGGGACGGCTGGGTTCCAGTACGCTTGCGGAGATAGCCTTCGCCGCGAGCCAGCCGAGACATCACTAACCGCGACCATGTCCAAGTGTCAGGTCTACGTAGCGCTTCTCGAGTCGCACGCCGTCTCTGCTTAGCACTTCTTCGCCATCCATGCCCGCCCTTCTCCCCTTCGGGAACCACAAACTGCTCACATGTCACGAATCTAGGGCCCGTACCTGGACTGGACTGGACTGGACTGCGAGACAGACAGGCAGAGAGGCACCCGTAGCGACACCTCAGCTCAGCTCCGCGTTTGACACGAGGATTATTCAATCACCATGGAACGACTTGGAAAGAGGCGGTCAGCCAGATATCTGGCCGAGCGCTCTATCACACGTCCTCTACCTTACCTTGGTAGCTGCCTACTGCCCATGGAAGCTGCCACAATATTCTTTCGCCTCTTGCCTAGGCACCTTGACTCACACAGCCAAGGTGTAGCTTACTGTTTGGCTGATGCATGGCAACATTGCCTCGCAAATCGAATCCCCCCGATGTCGCCTCTCGTCGTCGCCCCGTTCAGGCAGGCAGGCAGACGACGACACAAACAGCTGCTGCAACAAGGCCACCCGGAACCTCGAATCCTTCCCTATCTTTGCCTCCTGTTCCCTTTCCCACCCCTCGCACTTCAGGATTCGCACCTACACGCCCCCCGGCTGGGCTGTCTTCTGCCCATTACCACCTACCCCGGCTGCTCTGAGCAAAGACGCCATACCCAGTTCCTATTGGCACATGACCGGGGGCTGCCCTGCAAACACAAGACTCGGAATGAGGCGAACTGGAGCCTCGCCGCAAATGTTCCTATGTTTACTCACTGCAGCAATGCAAAATCCAGGAAATGGCGTTCGTTCGCCGGATTCTGCGGCTTGGTTGGAAGAGCCTCCTTGGCTCCTTAATCTTCCATCGACTTTTCTCTTTCCTCTCACACAATGGCATCCAGCGTTCAGACGTGCCATGTCACCATGCTGGCTCGTCCGCGACATTCTGCCGGCCCCGTTGATACGGTGCTTTTATGCAACCCATCGCGGCCCCCGAAGAGGCAGCTTGCTGCATAATTGCATGAGCAAGTCGGTCAGTCGGTCACTCGCCTCAGCGATAACACAATACAGCTGCCCCCGACTCTCCGAATTCGCCCAGGGATGCCCAGTGCTGTGCCTCCTCAGCAGACGCGCTGTCTCGCGCTGTCTCGCAATCCTCTCCAATGCAACTATGCAGACCATGTCGGGCTACCTGCACTCGAAAGACCGAGATGAACATTGCACTTGATGCGCTGGATACCACGATGCGCTCCGTAGAACGCCAACCTCATGCAGCTACCGCGGCCGCGACCACATCCGCATCCGATCTTAGCGAGCCCGGCGGGCTGGACGGTCTCGATCGGAGCACGTCGTTGGAGGGGCGGGTCGTCGATACCCCAAGACTCGGGACAGTCTGTTCGCCTATCACCTGAGCAGCTTCATTACTCAACGCTGCATTGAGCATCCACCCGTTGATACGATACAGTCACGCAGCACGCAACTTGCTGCAGCAGCATCAGCAGCAGCACGCAATCCTACCGTCTCCATGGGCTTATCGGAGCCAGTGGAGGGTAGGAGAAATGATGTGCAACTAACCAACCTGGAAGGACGGAAAAGAACCGCCGGGCCCAGTGTCTTGACTCGCTCACGTGGCCCTTTCATCCGTCACAGATCGAGAAACCATCTCTGAACTCAATGGCAAGACAGCCAAACAGCTGCCAGCGAGCCAAGCTCCTTCAGCTTCTTCATCTCAGCCAGCCAGCTGTTGCTTCCGTGCTCTTCCCTGCAACCCAGCACTGCCTTCATTGCCCTCTAACCTACCTCCTTACCCAAATTCGAGTAGCATGTAATGCGTCTCCCGGGCCACCAGGCAGTAGAGCGCCAGCCTCGCATTACACTTCCTCTGACAAGCGTCCGTGAGATTTACAAAACAGGGAGGCGCGTATACCGAACGGCCAGCCAACCAAGCCAGCAGTAAAAGCCGACGCGACAACTCATCACCAAGAGGCACGTTTGACGACGGCGACGACCAGCCAACAAGACAGCTCCGTCGGAGGCGGGGAGCTCTCGGTGAGCAAGCAATTAGCGTTCGGCGGTTGGCTGGTTGGCTGAGATCGACAGATGGCGGGGATAAGCAGGAAGACATCAAAGACGACTGCAGCACGTCCCCCAGAGGTCCGAGAGCGCAGCCTGCCATGCGTCGACATCGGCCTGCAGAACTGATAATGACTCCCAGGCAGTAAAGATGCCTCGACTGAGGTCTGTTGTTCAAACGCTCACGCTGCGCGCTATCCGATTAGCCCACGCTGCTAGTCATGCGAACTCAACCCCCGCCTTTTTCCCTTTCCATCAGAGTTCATCCACGACGGCGTCCCGCCAAGAAAGTGTCTCCTGAAATCGCTGCATTTCGAGACACCTCTGGTCCAGCTTGAACATTAAAAGTGTAATCGACTTTGAATTCAACACGTCAAGATGCGCCGCCTCCGGAGTCTCCTCAATAGGCAAGCCGGGCAGGAGAAACCCCTTTCCGGACCCGAGGGTCATGAACCCCAATCCCGACCCCTCTCTCCCTCCCACCTCCCTCTCGCCGTCGCCGCCTACATGTAGGACCCGGATACTTTCCTCCACCCCTTTACCCCGCCGTCGCAAGCCAGCCTCATCCAATGTTCCTAGGCAGAGAGATACGTCAGGCAAGGCACGGACAAAGTAAACATTCCGCTTTGAAATCATCCCATGAATCAAATAGAAAGGTAAGGCAACAGGCAAGCTTACTGCCACAGTACCTCCTTTTCTGTGGCGGGACGCACAATCGAATCTTGGCCCGTTGCGGAAAGTAAGCTTCTCGCCTCTCTCTCTCTCTCTCACTCTCTTATGCTCCTACACGCCCCCTCCCATCCTTCCGTCTCAACAAAGGGAAGTGGTGGACAAATAAAAGTCGTTCCAGGCTTACCCGAACCTACGTCATGTCATTGTATCGTCCCTCACCCCGCCCCTCCTCGCAAGCCCCCACGGTCAAACCAAAGGAAGTCTCTCATTCTGAACAAGACTTTTTCGTACAAAAAAACCAACCCGTCGAAAACGACGGCCTTGTTTCAGAAGTTTCTAAGACTCGGGCGAAGAAGAGGGGTCGAATGCGAAGGGGGAGGGTAACGGAGCCGCCGCCGCGATGAGCCGCAAACGTAACAGCGCGAACGCGTGGTTCCTCGTGCCTGGACTGGCATGCTGACACACCCAAGCATCAAGCTTCTAGTAAGGTAAGGTAGTGTACGTAGGCTATTCCGAAGAATATACACAGCCCAGAGAGGGCGAGTACGGCAAGGTAAGTGTGGCGTGACTTACACCCTCCACCCGTAGTGGTATTACGCACCCGTCCATCTACCTGAGAACGGGGCCATCCATGGACATTGCAAGAACTCGATAATGCGGTTTTTAACCCGACAACCCGGAAACCCGGATAGCCCCCCTTTTTTGCTTTGGTGTATGTGTACGTCATGCAATTCCGTGACGAGGTTTTTGTGTGTTTTTAAAAAATGGTCCGTGGGCGCAAAGTGAAGCTGTCGACGGACCGAGATGTGATGGTGTTTGGGTGATTTCTCCCTTGCGACGGCGATCAAACTCCACCAGCTCTCGCCCATATCGAGAAGGCGGGCACGTCAACCACGCTGAGGAGAGTGAGTTACGGATTTCGACTGATATGGCCGTGTGTAGATTTCTGGGTGGCTGAAATGGCTGCCTTGCTTTCCACTCAGCACACTCCTCCTTTTTTTTTTTTTTTTGCCCTGTGTGAGAGATGACTGGCGAGTGAATGAGCAAGAAGGGTTGGGAGACTTATTGTGCTTCCACCGTTAGATGTGGCGCTCAAGCTGTCATGTTTGGATACGTGGACGAGAAGAAACTGATCTAATTGTACTATGGCAATCCACCTCCACTTGTTGTAGATGCGATTATGGGTTGACAGGGTTACGTGGCTAGGAAAACACGGCATTGAAAACGCTAATCCCACGAGAAGTCTCGCTGTCGTTCTTCACTCAGAAGCTTTCACGACAACCTTGAGAACACCAGACGACTCCAGATGGGTTCACGATTCTGGAACCTAGAGCACTGGAGGCTTCAACTCCCATTCTCACTGGCGGTACATCTTATAGCATTTTTCATAATGCAGATCGCACTTTTGTTGAATATCTCTTAAGCCAGATGGTTGCTACCTAACTTGGCGTGGATCACTAGGTGTTCTATCACTCAGAGATGAGAATGCTCCCCCGATATTAAGAATAAACAGGTCCTTCGTATTCGAAGCCCAGGTATCATGATGTAAGAAAACCCCTGAACGAAAGCCGAAAACAGCCACCCGATAACTCCATGCTTCTGTCTTTCTCTGCGTTCTTGCCTCCCTCTTCCTTGTATGTGCGTAATGCCTTCGCGGTCTGACCTTCTCATGGCTCGTAATGTTCTTGATGTACAGAATGGATTGACGTGGGCAGGATGATCCTGGCCCAGTTCATCTCTCCTCGTAAGTCGGTATACTGAATGATGGCTCACTGGCCATTTCGATTCCTCTTGAATAAATGCTCATAAGGCTCGCCGGCAGCCTCAAGCGCTGCGGCTTTCAAAGAAAGATCGCGTGATTTCCGCATCCACTCAGTGGCCTTCAGCCAGTCTTCATTCCTCCGCACGTAGCTGGGAAGCTCCTCCACCGGTACGTCGCCGAAATCCATGGGTCTTCGGTGTGACCATGGCTGCGGCGGGTTGGGTGGTGGCTTCGGCGGGTCCTTACCCCGTCGCGCTGCCAGCGCCCTCGCGATTGCCTGCCCAGCTTCAGACCGCTCCTCGGCAAGTCTCTGCTGTTTCATCCGGTAGGCTGCCTTACCAAAGTTAGCTTTGCGTCCGCCGCGAGCCTTGATCTCTTCTATCTTCTGCTCAAACCACTCGTCAGAGCGGTCGTGAGACCAGTGGATACGGGGATCGAATCTCATGTAGAACGGCCTGTGTGCTTCCTCTCCGGCTGAAGCGGAATTGGGGCGAGTAGGAGCGGGTGGGATGAAGACTTCCGGGGGAGGCGTATCCGCTTCAGGCTGTGTGTAGATCCAGGTGTCGAATTTGTCTTGGTCAACAGTACGGCAAAGCTCAACCCGCCGCTGCTCGCAGGTCAACTTCCTGGAGTTTGGAGGCCTTGTGTGCCATCGCTCAGTGGAAACTGAGAAGACTTGTTGATTCTGGATGGCAAGATTGGGGCGTCGCGCCATGAGCCCTGTGCTGTGGTTTTGCCTGGCGTTGGTTGCCAGACCGTTGATTCCGGCATCTTCGCTTTCCTCACTAGGTTCTCGGATTGTCTCCCCACGTCTGTTATTGACGAAAGGGTTATCGGAAGCAAACGTAGAAGGCCCACTGGGATCTGGGACGAAGTTGTGAATGTTCGGAACACTACCATGCGCAACTGCGCCTGTCGAACGCCTCGTTCCATCTCGAGACTGCGGCGAAGGCCCTGTCTCTCTCTTAGTGGTGAAGGCAGCGGTCGTATCTTCGTCGGTGTCTTCTGAGTCCGAGTCTGATGTCGAAGTTGAAGCCGTGTCCGAGATGCTTGCTCTCTTGCGCTTAGCTGATGAAGTTGTAGGTTGCGGGAATGGGGGCGCGGTTTTGATACTCGTCGGAGGAGGCTGCAGCCCTGATCTCACGATTGGCAGGGAGCGGTAATCTATTCTGCCCGGGGATGCAGCAGATGGCGTGAGAGACTTTGTCAACTCTTTAGACTTGCTTCTTTGACGGCTGGCTTCTGGGCGGGGCTTGTTGACGCCATGGTTGGTCGTTGATTGCGACGAGGCTTGTGATGTTTGACGTGAGTTTTGTGAGGCTGCACGAGCGGGCGGGACAACCTTATCAGCCGCGGAGCTGGTTTTCGGAGCTTTGCGTTGATCCTGGCCATTCGTCGTAGTTGACTTGGCAGACTGCCCTCCGTTCTGTACTACCTTGCCCGGCGGGAATTTGTCGGGGCTCCTCGAGGTTGGTGGCATAAATCTAGACCTGGTATGTTCTTGAAAGCGAGGCGCAGACCCCACAGTGGGTGACACAGATGATGGGTGGTTTCTCTGCACAGAAGGCCTGGAAATTGACTTCTTAGCTGTAATGGCGTGCTTATGGAGAAGATCAGGAGGGAAGTTAGTATTCCTGACTGTTTGCTGGGGGTCCGAGAGACTACTAGTCCCACCAAGGGAGCCAGGAAGCCCGTTGCGAGACTGTCCGCCGTTGAGACGTTCCGTCACGCGTGGATTCCTAGAGATCCCCTGCGTCTCGTTAACCAGGTGAGGCGTCTGGTTCGATTTGAATGATGAGCTGGAGTTTCCGGGGCCGAGCACATTGCGTGTGATGAGAGTGTTGTGCTTTAAGCAGTGTTTGCTACCGTTGGTCAACACAGTAGAACCGCACCCCGCAGTGGCGCATCGGTCAATTGGGCGGGTCGCGTCCATCTCATCACATGAGCGCTCTTTCGGAACGGTGCTCTGAGTACTAAGAAGCCGGGCTCGCAGATTTTGAAGCGTACTCCTGGTAGTCATCAGAGTCGTCGAAATGCAATGTACGAGTCAAGAACCGCAATCGAGCACGTTATCGGGCCAAGTAGGCGATGCCTGCCTGACTTGAGGTGGCCCGCAACTTCGGATTATGCTGCTGGCTTGCCCAGGCTCTATCGGTGACACGAGAGCTTTTGTTGAGCTTGATGCCTGCCTTTCGGTTCAATGGGACAGAAGTCAAGGGCAGCCTGGAGTTCTTGTCTCATGGTCCGACGGCTGAAGACGAAGCGGGTAGACACGTATACCGTAGGCTCTAGTGAAGGTTAGCCATCGAGAATGAGTTAACCAAGCAAAGTCCAAGAAAGAGTAGATTGACGGAAGGAACAAGAATGGTGTAAACGGAAGAATGATGTGTGTCGCGCTCAGGTCTTTTCAGTTTCTTATTTTGGTCTTCATTTTGGGGAAACAGCGGTTTTGCAGCCCTAGCTTGAACCTCTCATGTCCGCCTCGGCCTTTGGTCCAACTTCGTAGAGGCACCCAGAAGCTGAACTCCAAATGAGGCTGCAATAATGTCGCTACTCGATCCCGACGTGTGAAGCTTGGTTCATGAGGTAGCGACAAACGATGCGCGGCTCAACGCCAGGCGAAGGCTTTGCGGGGACGAGGACGTGGTTCAATCCTGAGAGTGAAGCCATAGACCAGGTACAAGATGAGACAACAACCCCAGAAGTATCCTTTTCTATCGGACCTTTTACCAATAGTCATCATTGCGCGTGAAGGGAATGGAACGAAAAAAATTTGACGGAAAGAGTGAATGAAGAGCCTTGCTTACCTGGTGAAACCTGCCCGCCCGTTCTCTCGGTTTCGCGCCCACGCACCCTCCGCTTCGCGACAGCCGCCGAGTGATACTTTCGCATGGATCCAAAGTAAACGGCGTTAAAACGTGTATAACATGGAACCGCAGACTGTTTTCATCATGAGCTGAGAGTTATGCCGAAAGCAGCGGGTTGCCTCGTGGGAGAAACGCCAGACGCGGGCTCGTGGTCGCGGAAACGTGGTTGAGGCTCTCGCCTCGCGTTACGTTCAGTGGAGGTTGTGTCGAGTGTTGGTTGCTTCAATTGAGGTAGAGGTCAGGTAAGGTAGGTAGACCGCAAGACCTCGGGGTGATCCTTGCCTAGCTTCCACTCTTTAGCGACGGGCAAAACGGGGACCTTGGGTGGCACATTCCGCGGGGCCCATTGAAGGTCGGCCGCGGATCATCTCCCATCCGTACCAAGTACCACCCCTCTATTCAACGCGGGTTAGCGCGGGGCCCTGGACGCTGCTGGCTGAGGTGCTGTCCCCTGGCGTCAGTGGTCCACTGTCTTGTCGCCAAATTGCCCGAAGCTCCCTGCCTGCGCTGGATGCGCGTGTTGCAACGTCTCACATTTACACGATTTCAAGACCAGTCTCATAGATCGAAGCTTCGCCGGACCGAAACGAAGGCATCCGAGACTGAACGATCGATATGAATTTTCTCAAGTCGGCAGTCGCCTCTGCCATAGCTCAAGGGCCACCGTTCCCCTACAGCTTTGGCGACAGAGTTGACATCGACGAGTCCATCTGGACTCTCAACAATGGCACCAAGCGAGTACGTCAAGCTTCCCGAGGAAATCCCCAAAACGCTCCAAACTGACGCCCCTTGCAGGAAGACGGATCTAATTGCAGCATTTTCTCCTTCGATGTCACCGCGAACAAGTCTCGACTCCCCCTTGCTAAGAATGCTTTGCGAAAGCTGAGAACGCTGCGCCACCCAGGCGTGATCAAGGTGTTGGATACGGTGGAGGTATGCGTGCCCTGCGTCAGGATATGGTGGTTTCTGACACGAAAAACATAGACCGATTCGTATATTTACATTGCGACCGAGCGCGTGGTGCCTCTACGATGGCATGTGAAGAGAAAGAGTTTGACACCCGAGACCATAAAATGGGGGTTGAGTAGCATTGCGGTATGTCAAGCAAGGGGATTGGAGCTCTGCAGGAAACTGACCTCCTTCCAGCGCACAGTCAAGTTCATCAACGACGAAGCATCATCAATACATGGCAATGTCAGGGTCGGATCCGTTTACACGTCTGAGAGCGGAGAGTGGAAAATGAGCGGCTTCGAGGTTCTCAGCAACGTTAAGGAAGACGATGCTGTAATTTACGTGCGCAAGCTCTTTCCCTTATTTTATGCCGACGGCCGCGCTGACTGTTCACACAGACATACGGAAGCTTGGTTCCAGATTCTGCAAGATATGCTCCACCGGAGCTTGCCCGCGGCGGCTGGGATGCTATCAAGAAGAACCCTCACTCAGCCATTGACTCTTTCGGTTTCGGTTGCTTAATTTTCGAAGTGTTCAACGGCGATTTTATGGGGTCCGACCAGGCCGGCCAGACGAAGAGCATCCCCCCAACAATGCAACAAAGCTATAAACGCTTGGTGAACCCGAACCCGAAAGCGCGTGTCAGTGTTGGCCACTTTTTGGAGCAAGGCCAGCGTAGCGGGGCTTTCTTCGATAGCCCTCTGATCAAACTGACAGAGGGCATCGAAAATCTCGGCGTCAAGTCCGAGACCGAAAGAGAAGAGTTTCTTGAGTGAGTTGAGCCAACCTACCTATACAGAAACGATTTGACTAACCGCCACAGTGATCTCGACCAACTGTCAGATGATTTCCCAGAAGACTTCTTTAAGATGAAGGTCCTTCCAGAACTAATAAAGTCGGTGGAGTTTGGCGGCGGTGGTCCCAAGGCGTTCAGCGTTGTCATGAAAATCGCCGCCAAACTGTCTAATGAGGACTTCGACGCCAAGATCACACCGGTGGTTGTTCGTCTCTTCTCTAATCCAGATAGAGCCATCCGCGTTTGCCTTCTTGACAGCTTACCTCTCATGATCGATCGTCTCTCGCAGAAGGTTGTCAACGACAAGATCTTCCCGCAGCTCGTGACCGGTTTCACCGATGTTGCGCCAATCGTCCGGGAACAGACCTTGAAATCTGTTCTTGTCATCATCAACAAGCTTTCAGACCGGACAATCAACGGCGACCTGCTCAAGTACCTTGCCAAGACGGCGAACGACGAACAGCCTGGTATCCGTACAAACACGACCATTTGTCTTGGAAAGATCGCTAAGAACCTAGGCAATTCATCCAGAGGCAAGGTTCTGATTGCTGCTTTCACGAGGTCTCTCAGGGACCCTTTCGTGCATGCCCGGAACGCCGCTCTCATGGCTCTCGGCGTTACTGGAGAATACTTTACAGACGAAGACGTCGCCCTTAGGATCATGCCCGTTCTGTGCCCGTTGTTGATCGACAAGGAGAAGCTCATTCGCGACCAAACGAGCAAGACCATGGATGTGTACATCCAGAAAATCAAGAAAGCAGCCGCAGCCATGCCAGATAGTGCCCTGCCTCCCCAAGGTGCCGACGGCGCTGCTGCTCCCCGGATGGGCACACCCCAGCCAAGCGGCGACTCAGCTGCCTCTTCCTGGACCGGTTGGGCCATCTCCTCGTTCACCAACAAATTGTCCTCTGCGGCAGGGGAGATGCAGACTTCTGCTGGCACTGCATCTCCTAAACCGTCTCCATCGCCTGGTCCGGAAGCCAAGAGGCCAACCATGTCTTCGGCATCTGCCCTGCATAGACAGGCAGTCAAGTCGCCCCCTCCCATCTCGCGAACCCCATCAACTATTGTCGCCGACTCTTTCAACCCCGAGCCTGCAGATGATGGTGATGCTTGGGGAGACATGGGTGATGACACCTGGGGCGAGCCGGCGACTGAAAGTGCCAAGCCAGCAGCAAAGACGACCGCCAGCGCGACGCCATTTGACGATGGCTCCGAGCCTGACTTTGCTGGATGGCTCGCTGCTCAGTCGCAAAAGAAGGGTGGCTCAAGCAAGCCCTTGCCGAAGGGACTGTCCAAGTCGTCCGCTTCTGCCGCAAAGAAACCGCTGGCTACTAAACCAGCGGCTAAGCCCGTAGTAGCCAAGAAGATAGATCTGAAGCCCAAGGAAGAGGACGACGACGATGGTTGGGGCGACGGATGGTAGACGATTGTAGCACGCACATTTTGCAGCATGTACGGCGTTGGGAGCCAGGTCTCACTAGACCCATGTTTTTGGGATACCATAATTCTGCTTGTAATGTTCATAAAGCAACTACCCTAGTCTGCAAATGAGAATCGTAATGCAGATGGCCGCAGCCTATCTGTGATGCGATACAAACGAGTTTCCAGACGCCCCGCCAACCCAGGCCCCAAGTCCAATATCAGAATGAGAGAACAAAAGACGTAAGCAAGAAGTCCTTTTGGAGACCAAACGTAACCGACCAAAGTTGGAAAAGAAAAGGCCACCCGCGGTAGAAAACCATCGAGTCGTTATCTAGCTGACTCTGAGTAATCGTTGAGGGCGACGCAGACGGCTCCTCTGTGATGGCCGTTGTACTGGCGGATGATCTGCTGGCTGTGCAGCTCCCAGAGTCGGGCGTAGTGGTCGGAGCAGGCCGTGACGAGGTAAGCCGAGTCGGCGCTGAAGGCGCAGTCCCAGACCCACCGCTGGTGACCCGTCAGGGTGGCCTCGAGGGGGAAGGGCTTGGGCTCCTCGTTATGGGCAGGCTCGAGATCCTTCACCTCCCAGATGCGCGCGGTGTGGTCGGCGCTGCAGGTCGCGAGCTTCTTCACGTCGGGCGACAGGAGGATACGAGTAATATACTCCTTGTGCGCGTTGAAGTGCGTCACGGGTAGGAGCTGCGTGCGGTCGTAGGTCTGGAGGAGCTGCCAGACAAAGACGTTTCCCTAGTTTACTGTCAGCTTCCTGGGACTAGTCATCATCATTATGAAGTGCTGCTTACGCCATTGTTGGCCGCGCAGAGCAGAGAACCATCACTGGCGACGGTGACGCTCGAGACGGAGACGTCCTCCTCCGGGATGAGCTGGTGAGAGCAGTTGTTCTCAGCGAGATCCCAGACGCGAACACTGCCCATGCGGTCGCAGCTGATGATCTCGCCCTGGTTGGGGTGGATGACGACGTCGTTGGCAGGGCAGCCGTGGTTGTAGCTGCGCTGGACCTGGCCGCTGCGCGTCTCCCAGATCTTAACGGTGCCGTCCTCGGAGGAGGTGACCATCCACTTGCCCTCGCAGTGGAAGGCGACGCCGGTGATGTTGCCCGTGTGGCCCTCAAAGGTCAGCAGCGGGTTCGGGTTGGTGGACTTGATGTCGTAGAGCTTGACGGTGTGGTGGCCGGCGGCCGCGAGGAAGCGCTTGTCGGGGGAGATGCAGAGGCGATTGACCTGGGAGTCAGGGTGCTGGATCGTGCGGGAGCAGATGCCGGAGAGGGCCTCCCAGAACCTGCAGGAGGTTAGTCAGGATGTTTCGGCGATCGCGACCGTTGTGAAGTACCTGATTGTGTGGTCGTAACCAGCTGGCAATTGTTAGCGATCTGTTTCACCGGCCTTTGAGCATCGGCAGGGCTGGAAGGTGCTTTGGGGATGCGAAAGGGACCCAAGACTCGGGGGCTTACCTGTGCAGAGAATCACAGACATGGTTGCTGTAGGAAAGCCTTAGGCTTCGGTTATCTCATGATACGTCGTATTGAAAAAAGGAAGGGGGTGAAATCGCAAAGAGCGCGACAGGGAGGCTGTTGCGCGCAAGTTCACCACTAGGAAAGTGCCCCTCCACGACACTGATGCGGTCGGCTGGATTGGCATCACAATGGAGCTTCCAGTGTCGGTTCCTAAAACCACGGCCCCACCAGAGGTCCGGGGCACTGGACGACCCACCAAGGTGTGTCTTTGCCGGATTAACTTCGGCAGCTGTTCATCGCATATCCATACCTGCCTAGGCAGATAAGGTACGTACCACTTACACGCGACAACCACCTTCCTCCGAACCTGAACTTCAACACCGCCTCTCGGCTACAACGTTGCTTCATCACCATCATATTGTCTTTCCAATGCACCAAACTCGTCTCATGTCGCATCTCGAACCGTATGGCTCGATCTCGGAGCCGATCTGTCAAGCACGTTGGCTGAACCATGGCCACATGACACCTTCGACAAGCAACTCGGCAGTGTAACCCGACCTTTAGGAGGTGCTTGCCATGATTCCGATCAAAGTCGGTCTGCACTTATATCGTGCAAACAAATCCAGAAGTTTCGGGCGAAGTACCGCGTTTGAGTAGGAGATCCCAGGTGCTAATCGACGTGGCTTCCCAGTACTCCTACCAGCGTCATCCGAACCAGGTGTCGTGCTACAGCCAGGGCTTACTCGAGCAGCTCGCGCAAGGCTCGTACGGTACGACTGTCGTGGTAGCGTATGACGCCTCGCAGATCCAGCCGGATCATCAGTCACTTCTCAGGAAAAAGACCATATGGAGATGGCACTGTCTACCAATCGGGTCCAATGTGAAGGTCATTGAAAACTGCCTGATAGATTGACGTTAGGATCCCTCAGTGGTGGAGGTTCACTCGGCCGATAGCTTCTGGAAGCCTCAATGCGCGTCAAACTACCTTCGCGGAATGTATTCGAGCCATTATCTGGCTTTGCAGCGCACTCTGGACAACCGTGGGCGTATCAATCCAAGCGATACAATTTGGACTCGTGCCCATACGGATTGCTGCCGATTTCTCGACTTTTCTACCATGGGCAGCCCCGAAATTGACACAAAGGCAGAAATGACTGGCTTTCAGCAAATTGTGCATTTCAGCCCGGTTGTCGCGTCAGCTTTCATCCAACCGTGTCCCTGCAAACTCAAAGTCACCTGGTTTTCCGACGATTATCAATCCGAGGGAAATACAGACTTCGGAATAGAGGACGCACGATATCGACCTCTGCTTTTTAGCATATCCTTGAGTTAGATCACGAATCATGGCCGATACATGGTTGAGCCTACCAGTCAACACTGGCGGACGAGATACATCAACCGAAGGCTACTGCCTTCAATCTTTAAGGTACTCGGTATATGGTTCAGAGCGAAGCTCTCTGTTGTGCAACTCGGCTCTCATACCCATGCACATCCTTCGAAGTCTTTAGCGGATTAAAGCCGTACACCTGCAACACTTGTCCGACCCCGGAAGCATCACACCCAGCCCCGGAAGACGCCTGACAACAAACTACGATTTGGAACCCAACCCAGAATTCGATTCGTGTGTGTCGCGGCCCAACAGCTCGATTCAGTAGGAGCCACCGGACACTGCCCCGGTGATTCACGACCGGCCAATACCACGTTGTCAGCGATTATTACGCATGTGTGTCGCCTCATCAGCTTCATACGCGTGACTCTCGAGATGCATCGATGGTTCCGTTATGCCGAAGAAGCGTGTCAACGTTGCCCCAAAGAACATTTGATCTCTGTCCTAGTTTCTCCATACCGATGATCTGTACCTATGACGGCGCTTAACCGGTGTTATTGTCGAAGTGCTCTCGGAAATACTCAGGCAGCGCCCTAAGAGGAGGGGAGGATGAGACCGATTGTAAACCTCAAGAATAGCAACCCGCTGAAAAGTGTTCATTGAGAACCTGGAAACTTCTTCTACTCTGCTCTGCTTGCGAAGTCTCTGGTCTTAGCGACGCTTCCTCAAATGCCGGCAAATTCCTCTAAAAGAGTTGCATTCTTGGATTCCGAAAGCCGTGAGACCCTTTCTGACAAGAACCACTAAAAGAAAAAAAGGAAATGGAATAAAAAACGATACAAAACGCCGACCAGACACACTCTTTTGGCCACTGGGACCTCCCTGCTCTCTTGAAGAGGATCTTCTTGAAGAGTAACGTGGCTGTCAGGGGTGATGACATTTACAGGAGCCTCTCATGGCTCAGAAAATGGAAGCTCTTCTGGCACTCTCAGCTACGTCCGGCGGCAACTCCTCTATCAGGATCGCCGTTGGCAGGGCCTCTAGGGCCCCTAGGTCCGGGTTTGTCAGGACGCGCGCCTCCGGTCCGAGGCTTGGAGCTCAAAGATCGATCTTCAGCTGCGCGCCTGTGAGGGCACGGGACTCTGACTACGCCTTGAGAGCCGCAGAAATCACAAGGGTTTCTTGAAAACCGTCAGTTAACTCTGCCAACTAAAGGCTCAAGTTGTCTTACCGTGCATGGCCAAAACAGTGGGTGCAAGTTCTGAAGTCCCACTTGCCAGAATACATATCTTCGATACATCCACAGACTTCGTCGGAGGCCATGTTGTCGATGACTGTATGTGTGATGTATACGGAACTTGAGAATTTCAATTGAAAAGCTGATATTCACTTGAGGAATTGCGCGATGAGAATATTGGCAGCAAGTCTCTCTGGATCTTTGCAGGAAGATGAACAAAGGGACCGGCCCTGCTCGTCTCTTATACTTTTTCGCCGCGCCATTCAAAATACGCTCACAATGGTCTCGAGAACTATCCAACCCTAGGAGAGGTTTGACGAGGCGTGTAAGCATTCGAGCTCGGCCACCCTTCACCGCCTTCTCCGGGCGCTTTTCTGGGCATCATCACCGAGCTATTGACACCCATCGGACATCACAGGAGAGGACTGTTGGTCCGGTCTTGTGACTACGCTGGGTGCTTCCGTAAGGTTGCCTCGTTTCATCCTGCGGACCAACGAATGGGGTGAAGAGTGTGGGTGATACTTCATATGCCGCCTTCTCCTGCTTGTCCTGATTGGGAAGTTTCTTGACCGGCATGGGGCTCTCGATGGGCACCCTTGGGTATTCATCAAGGGGATTCGACCCTGTTATTGACGTCAGCCGCAGGAAGTACAGATATCGGCCTGCACATGCCACCCCGTCGGCATATTCGAAGTAAGTGGCATTTGTGCTTCCCATGCGGTATTCTGTTTGCTGACTCCAACAGCCCCAGAGAGGCGTCTCAACGTATCTGAAGTTGACAACACTACTGGGCAGAGGGAGTTGCTCTGGGGTCAATTCCCCCCATATTATTGCAGCAAGAACCATTGTTCTCTATTAACAATGTCAGCAACTTTTGCTGCTTTAGTCCTGATCTGCCTCGGACTTCGATCCGGGCATGTCGGATGCTAGCTATTCCAGCAATCATCCTGCGAGCTCGACCGACTGCCGGCTACCTGCATCAAGACCATGCCGATCTGCCCACTCAGACGTACACCGAGCACATTAGGGCCTTGGAATTCTGCGGTTCAAGAAGCCAGGCTAAGGGTCTCTCAGCATGTCGCAAAGGGGAAAAGAAAGGGCGGTGTTGTCAGAACTGCCTGAGCCACGAAGGGCACGCGTCTATTGAAGGTAGGCGTGTTGGTATTGCAGACAAAGCTCCCCCTGGTGGTGCTACCGGCGCCCGTGGGCTTTTACGGGATCCAATAGGAAAGCTTCATCCAGACAAGGTACTTTCACTCTCGTGGGTTTCTGAGCACAACAGCCGACTCAGCATTTCGATTCGAGTCTCACCGTCTCGTCAAGCGACAGCCACGGGTCGGCCCATGCCTAGCAAGGCAAACCCAGAGTCCCCAGCTGTTGGGAATGCTACAAGCGACCTGCCGCCCTTTTTTCTCTCGGACTGCAAGCTTCTTTTGAACCTTGAGTAACACGAGTTTCTCGAAGGATTCACCGGTCGACAAGTCCTGGCAGTGGGCCGCTATGCCAGCCTCGTGGCCTTAAGCGCCATGTTGTGGTCAACCAACTCCAACAAGCGGTCTTTGCGCGGTTCTATTGCCATCACGCACTCACCTCGATCCCACACCGGTGAGGAATCTCGGAAGAATCCGGATGTCAGCTTGCCATGCCCAGGCTCAGGCGGACGATGCAACATTCTGGGAGGATTGTGAACTATAGCAGTTGCCAAAGATCGAAACGTCTGGGGAAGTCGCAGTCATTCGGCTTCACGATCTCGGCGGCCCTGCAACATTCATCGCTTTGCTCAGCCAATTCTCGCGTTGTGCTACCCACTTTTCTGGTCAAAGACCTGCTCGAGGCGATCACGATGGGTCATCCGACAAGTCTGTACTCTCCATGGCGTTCGCAACTCAGGACTGGTTTAACGACACTGTATGTCTGCGTGGAATGCAGACGAGGGGTCTGTCCATTACAGTATTCCATTGGGCGTCGGTACGGTGCCGACTGACTAACCAACCAACCAACCAAACCCCCAGCTCCCCGCGGAGAACGACATGTTTTCTCTCTCAACTCTCTCGTTACATCGCGGGGCTTACCCCCAGCATGATCACCATGCATGTCATTCCGCGCCTTCATATCAACGGACCTCTCAGAGGCTTTCGAGATATGCCCCGGTCTAGTACGCACATAACGAATACGCCCCGTGATATCTCCTGTCTTCTACAAGCTCCTGCTCTCCCTCTCCCTTCTTCTCCTTTGTCCTCCTCCGACAACTCATGCCGACAAGCGCATCTCGCCAACGCTCCCCCAGTCTCTCACCCGCGTGGCGTCGCCCACTGCAGGCAAACTTGCGAGTCTCGCTGAACAGTAGCACACGACTAGCAGGCTTGGCACCGGGCACTCCCCAGGAAAGAAGTCGTTGCCAACCGGAGCAGCGTTAACTAATACTACGTCCATGCATGTCTCATAACAAGATGGA